TAGAATCGGTGTGGTTTTCGTAAAAAATTTGGGTACATCAGCGACTCTAACGAAGGTACTCGATGACATACAGGGTGACTTCGAAGTGGAGTCATTTATTTTAACAGTGAGTAGATCTGATCAAAAGAAATGTTTTTTCCTTTACCATTTTTCTGGTAAAATTAAAGTAACAAAGTTATAGCCCTTTAGAAGTTTGAGTACCGCCCTGTCTCAATAATAATATTATGTGCTCGTGTTTGGCGACAACGGATATAATCCGCCTTATCGGTTTGATCGCATCGGAAACAAAAAAGCGAAAGAATTTGGAACGATGTTTTTACAATTATTTTATTCATTTGTATACAGTCAGTGTCAGTGAATAGTAGTGTCTGTTGCGTGGCTCAAACGAAATAAAAAATGGCACATGTTTATGCGGATCGGTTTCCCAATCGAGTGCAACCAACCCCTCGTGCCTTTGTTAATGTTGTACAACGGGCTCGTGAATCAGGTGACTTAAGACCACACAGGGGACTGCATGCCGGTGCTCCAAGACCTCACGATCAAATACAGGTCCGCACTGAAATACTTGTCGGGAGGATACTTTATAAAACAAGGTAAAAAAATTATTTTTATTTGTTTTTATTTTTACACACATATTTTGGTTTATCTTCCTTCTACAATCATTATCTGAAAATTAATGACTCAACTTCAAAGTATTAAGAGCAAATGATAAAAAGATGAGTTCCGTTTTGGTACTTCTAGACTTTTCAAAAGATACCATTAATCATGAATTGTTGGTAGCTAAACTTCAGTACTATGGCTTTAATAAGGAAGCTTGTTTACTTTTAATATCATATTTGACAGGAAGGTATCAATAGATTCTATCAAATGACACATTCTCAGACAAAGCGGAGATCCTATCGGGAGTTCCTCAGGGATCAATATTGGACCCCTTGTTATTTTTAATTTATACATCTGATATCCTTACGTGTTTAGAGTTTTGTAAAGTTCAGGCCTTCGCGGATGACACCCAGGTTTATTGTTTTTTGATATTGAGGATTACAAATATATTACGAAAATTGTATAAATGAGGACATTAACACCTTGAACAATCTTATTCGTCGGTAAACACTTCGCATGCCAATAGGTCTTCCGTGTTCTGCAAACCATTCATTTGCAATGTACCTGGTAGTGGAGAAACGGTCCCTTAAGGCCAATAATCTTAGGCGGCGATCTTCACGGTCTGTTGTTCTACGGCGGCGTCCAGTGCCCCTTGCTCTTTGCATACGGCCTTCTCGAAGCCATGCCGGACAACATCTAACCACAGTGTCTACACTTCTTTGCACTCTAACTGCAATTACCCGAAAAGAAAGTCCAGCTTCCCGAAGTCCCACTATACGGCCCCTATCAAACTCACTAAGTTGACGAAATCGTACAGGTCTCCGTACTCTAGGCATCGTAACCGATCGTAAAGGATGTCAAGAATCAAAATCCGCCAACGTTGATTCTCTACTGCGGCTGGAATTGGACAAAGAAAAGGTCTCTAGAATTTCGGAACAGCCAATTGGGTCAAAGGCAGGCAAAAGAGTTCATCAAAGAACGAAGTCTCGCATTTACAGAGGACCTACTCGGATTCCATAGGACCATAGTGGGTCTCCTGACAGGACACTGTCTTCTAAATTGACATATGAAACTCTTGGGTCTGTCAGAAGAGGAAACCCCGGTGCGTCTCCTGTGTCAAGGCCTGGCAAGGCTACGGGTTCAGATAGTATATACCGTAGGTTCAACAGCGGAAAGCTACATGCAAGGCCCTGTGTCAAGGCTACGGAGTCTGATCAAAGGATCAAGGCTGGACACAGTGCTTTAGGAAGTATATCGGGGATCACAACAGATCTACTTGGGTGACAGTAAGGTTAAGGCTCTTCTGTAATCGGTAAATGTAAATTGCTCGTATTTCCCGTCATTTCCAAAACCTGGTATCGTCGTTAGCTGTCGCTGCAGATTTGATGTGAGAGATAAGGCTGAACATTACCAGGCTTAATAGCGCCTAGCTTAATGACCCAGCCTAATTTGTTTTCGATTCGATTGTTAGATTAGTGGGCATAATGGAACCACCAGCCACCTATGATTGATTACCTTCATTCGACTCGACAGGAACATAGGAACGGCGTGGTACGTACTTGCATACCACCTACCTAATATCTGATACGACGCACTCTGAGTCACGTTTCAAACGGAATTACGGGTTTGTGGGTCTTTGAATATGTTCAATGTGCATTCTTTGGATGTATTATGACGCGTACAGCACGAAAATTAATTTCCATCGGTCTGTTTGTCGGTAAGTTCGTCCAGTAATCCTTGGTCGAATTATGAATCGGAATCAAAGGCGGAAGCCTCTCAATAGGGTTGTTGTTCCTTATTTTGATTCGTTATAACAATCAGTAGACGTTCTTTTGTAGACTTACGTGCATTTAAAAGTGACAACAATTTATCATCCCAGTGGATATATCGGTCAAAAACGCTCCATTGCATTTCTAGCGAGATAAATGTTACTATTTGATGAAAAATGATCTCCGACGATACACTTGAGAGCATTTTGCAAATTTCTTGTATCTCTAGATGTGAGACATTTTCACTTACACTTGAACGAATATAATTTTGCTGCAAAATTTGTCAACAGCATCGTTATTTAACTTTACGAAGCACATGTTGTAGTCACAATGATAAATATATCGATCAGCTGTTCAGAATAATCTCATTGTTGTGCGCTTGTTTTTGTTTTCATGTGATAATCGAACATATTTTTTACGCTCTTCCAAGCGGAAGTAGCGTGGAAGCTCTCAATCAGAGATACGAATTAAATGCGATTACGCGTTTAACACTACAAGGCATTTATGTTGTACTAGATCACTGTTGGAAATTATATTGTGAATTACAACAAAAAATATAGGTACTTACACCGAACGCAGTGTATGAAATAAAAAGAGCATCAAGTCGCCCATACTTAATTCAGACTCACACTCGAGTACGATGTATCGTAAACCTCGATATCTCACCCTATATAAAAAAATCATATTTCTGTTTCAAATTCCTTATTCCTAATATAGATCCTATTTATGTTATAAGGGCAGAAGCAATACAAAGCGTACAAAGGGTTCAAGACCGAAGTCTACTCAGCTCCATCCGGTGTTCCCCAGGGTTCTAACTCGGGACCACTTCTATTTCTAGTGTTTATTAATGATGTCTGTGAAAATTTGAAATATATGCTTTGCTGACGACTCTAAAAAATATTCGTCTAAAAGGGAGATTCATGATTTTTTGGATTTACAGATAGAGTTGAATAGTGTGCTGACCTGGTGCGGTGTCAACAATTTATATCTAACTACCAACAAGTGCAAAGTTGTTAGTTATAGAAGGAAAAAACCCTCCATATTTTCAACTATACTATTGATGGTGCGTTGTTTTTTATGACCATTTGCTCCCCATACTTCTCAAAAAGTCATACGGTTTTCTTGCGAGGAATTGTAGTCAACTTCACGACATAAGGGCCCATATGGATCCCGTATTACCAAGTTTATATAAACGAAATTGAAAACGGTTTGTGATCACATTATTCGACAGATTTCCAGCTATTACCGGGATCAGAAACTTCTTAATAGTAGAATCTGATTTACACTTGCCAAAGGTGTATCATTTACAACCCCCTACCCCCTGCTACACTCAACCCCTACAAATTTTATTTCTGAAAATGATCAGGAATTTTTGACGGATTTTTTTCATTTTTTGCCGCTGGTTTCTTTTTCTTTAAGTATGATCTACCCACTATTTCCTAAAATTATCAAAAACGCAGAAACAATAAGTCTGAAATTTATCATAAAAATGTTGTCCCATCAAAAAGGTTCAATCATCCTGTATATTCTCATTAACTATGGTAATTAAAATCGTTTTCTAATTTTTACATAAATTGATCATTTAGGTAAAGGAGAGAATATAACTGTATCTAACATCATTTTTTGTTGGAATGTATATGGATATCCTTCGATTAAATTATCCAACCAAAACAGAACAAGGTGTAACAGTTTTATTTAAAATACAATAAAGCATCGGAATGATTCCAAATTAGATATTGATTTGAATTAATTGAATGTTGCAATTGCTTTCAATACTTTTCGTCTGTGGGCGAATTGCAAAAATTCTTCTCCCCCCGCAGTGGCGTTCAATACAATACAACATCATTCAATTTTCCCGAAGCTTTTTAATGATAGAACGTCTTTGGCTAATGCTGAAGACCTTACATTTACAACACTCAACCCCCAAGTTTCAACCACTACAAACAAAATTCGGAAAATGATCAGGAGCCTCTGAGAGGTCAAAAAACGAAGTTTAAACGATTTTTTTTTTCGCGTTTTTGCCCCAATTAGGCCGACTTCCATAAACTTAAAAGCTTTTTTATTTTTGGCATACTAGCAACATTGTGTGATAATTTTTTAAAAATCCAACTACCATAAATTAAAAAATACAGGGGCCTTAAAACAGAACCGTGGGTAACACCATTTTACTCATTTCCGTCTGTCTTTTGGTTTCTATGTCGTCTGTTTAGTAATCCATGGGAAGTGCAACTCAGATTTTGATAATTTTTTTTCACGAGCTTACTAACATGCCAAAAACAAAAAAGTTTGGTTTTGAAAACAGGTCCAGTGGAAAACGAAACATATTCCTAAACTTATTTTTCTGAGGTTTTAACGGGGTTATAAATTTAAAAAAACTCAAACATCGTTGTTAGACTGTTCTCAACTTTCTGGTCATTCAAGAGCGCACCCAAAAAAAATTAAACTTTGTTTTTCGACCTATTTCAACTTCCTTATTGCCTTAAGGCGTAGTCTAAGAATGTTTGTATAAATGGTCAAATACTGAAAAACAAAATTTCCAAACATTTTTGTTGCTCTATGGCGTAGTCAACAAAAAATTTGGGAGGAAAAAATAGCCCTCTTGACATCATTTTTTTCCTCTTTCAGTCATACCTTCGAAACTCGAATTTATCCAATAAGCGAAAAAATCCAAAACGATCACAGAAAAATCCCACAAAAGGCACTCCGTAGCGAAAATCGCACTACGTCACACTCATCATCCCCGGGTTCGAAACTCCCGCGTCAAAAACAATCGCAAGTCGCGGCCGCCTACTACTTCCGTCTTTCACTTGTTCGAATGAGTCGCGACGCGCTAGCCTAGGCCGCCTTGGATTGAGCGCGAACGTCGAAGCGGTACTGGCACCGCCTGGTCAAGAGGGACACCACCGGGTACCGCGGCTCCGCTTGATAAGAGGATGATGGACAGAGGGTACCACCGTTGCTTCGCGGTACCCACGACGAATAGGGCAATAAACGAGGTTCTAAGAACGGCAAGACAGGTGGTACTGAAAGGCAGGTCGATGGTTCTAGCAGTACTCGAATGATCTAGCAGTGCCATTGCAATAGAATGAAAACGATGTTTGATCTGGTAACGTTATTATGGCCATAATTCTCATTTTGGACAGGCAGTACTGTTCTGCCAGGTCAAATAGGATATCGTCGGGTACAGCCGCACCGCTCAATAACAGTTTGATCGACGGGGGGTGCTTCAGCTGGATCGCGGTACCACTGACAAATAGGATAATACGAGGTTCTAAGAACATACTTCACAGCTACGCAGATGCAGGTGGTACTAGGTACTGCTCAGCAACTTGTTGGTTCTAATAGTACTCGAAAGATCTAGCAGTGCCATTGCATCAGAATAGACACGATGTTTGACCTGTTAACGTTATAGTGGTCATAATTTGCAATACAACTTAATTCTTTTGGACATAAGCAGTACTGGTACTGCCTGGTCAAATACAACCGCACCGCTCGATTAGAGGTTGATGGACAGACGGTACCTCAGTTGGGTCGCGGTCCCACTGACTAATATGGTAATCCAAGGTTCTAAGAACGGACTTAACAGCCATGCATGTGCAGATGGTACTGGGTATTGCTCAGCGAGTTGTTGGTTCTAGTAGTACTCGAAAGATCTAGCGGTGCCATTGCATCAGAATAGAAACGATGTTTGACCTGTTAACGTTATAGTGGTCATAATTTGCAATACAACTTACTTCTTTTGGACATAAGCAGTACTGGTACTGCCTGGTCAAATACAACCGCACCGCTCGATAAGAGGTTGATGGGAAGACGGTACCTCAGTTGTGTCGCGGTCCCACTGACGATATGGTAATCCGAGGTTCTAAGAACGTACTTCACAGCTACGCAGATGCAGGTGGTACTAGGTCCTGCTCAGCAACTTGTTGGTTCTAGTAGTATTCGAAAGATCTAGCAGTGCCATTGCATCAGAATAGAAACGAGGTTTGACCTGTTAACGTTATTATGGTCATAATTTGCAATACGGCTTAATTCTTTTGAACATAAGCAGTACTGGTACTGCCTGGTCAAATACTACCGCACCGCTCGATAAGAGGTTGTTGGGCAGACGGTACCTCAGTTTGGTCGCGGTCCCACTGACGAATATAGTAATCCGAGGTTCTAAGAACGGACTTAACAGCCATGCATGTGCAGATGGTACTAGGTACTGCTCAGCAACTTGTTGGTTCTAGTAGTACTCGAAAGATCTAGCAGTGCCATTGCATCAGAATAGAAACGATGTTTGACCTGTTAACGTTATTGTGGTCATAATTTGCAATACGGCCTAATTCTTTTGGACATAAGCAGTACTGGTACTGTCTGGTCAAATACTACCGCACCGCTCGATAAGAGGTTGTTGGGCAGACGGTACCTCAGTTGGGATGCGGTCCCACTGACGAATATGGTAATCCGAGGTTCTAAGAACGGACTTAACAGTCATGCATGTGCAGATGGTACTGGCTACTGCTCAGCAAGCTGTTGGTTCTAGTAGTACTCGAAAGATCTAGCAGTGCCATTGCATCAGAATAGAAACGATGTTTGACCTGTTAACGTTATTGTGGTCATAATTTGCAATACGGCTTAATTCTTTTAGACATAAGCAGTACTGGTACTGCCTGATCAAATACAACCGCACCGCTCGATAAGAGGTTGATGGGCAGACGGTACCTCAGTTGGGTCGCGGTCCCACTGACGAATATGGTAATCCGAGGTTCTAAGAACGGACTTAACAGCCATGCATGTGCAGATGGTACTGGGTATTGCTCAGCGAGTTTTTGGTTCTAGTAGTACTCGAAAGATCTAGCAGTGCTATTGCATCAGACTAGAAACGATGTTTGACCTGTTAACGTTATTGTGGACGTAATTTGCAATACGGCTTAATTCTTTTGGACATAAGCAGTACTGGTACTGCCTGGTCAAATACAACCGCACCGATCGATAAGAGGTTGATGGGCAGACGGTACCTCAGTTGGGTCGCGGTCCCACTGACGAATATGGTAATCCGAGGCTCTAAGAACGGACTTAACAGCCATGCATGTGCAGATGGTACTGGCTACTGCTCAGCAAGTTTTTGGTTCTAGTAGTACTCGAAAGATCTAGCAGTGCCATTGCATCAGAATAGAAACGATGTTTGACCTGTTAACGTTATAGTGGTCATAATTTGCAATACAACTTAATTCTTTTGGACATAAGCAGTACTGGTACTGCCTGGTCAAGTACAACCCCACCGCTCGATTAGAGGTTGTTGGGCAGACCGTACCTCAGTTGGGTCGCGGTCCCACTGACGAATATGGTAATCGGAGGTTCTAAGAACGGACTTAACAGCCATGCATGTGCAGATGGTACTGGGTATTGCTCAGCGCTTTGTTGGTTCTAGTAGTACTCGAAAAATCTAGCAGTGCCATTGCATCAGAATAAAAACGATGTTTGACCTGTTAACGTTATAGTGGTCATAATTTGCAATACAACTTAATTCTTTCGGACATAAGCAATACTGGTACTGCCTGGTCAAATACAACCGCACCGCTCGATAAGAGGTTGATGGGCAGACGGTACCTCAGTTGGGTCGCGGTCCCACTGACGAATATGGTAAGCCGAGGTTCTAAGAACGGACTCATCAGCCATGCATGTGCAGATGGTACTGGGTATTGCTCAGCGAGTTGTTGGTTCTAGTAGTACTCGAAAGATCTAGCAGTGCCATTGCATCAGAATAGAAACGATGTTTGACCTGGTAACGTTATAGTGGTCATAATTTGCAATACAACTTAATTCTTTTGGGCATAAGCAGTACTGGTACTGCATGGTCAAATACTACCGCACCGCTCGATAAGAGGTTGATGGGCGTACGGTACCTCAGTTGGGTAGCGGTCCCACTGACGAAAATGGTAATCCGAGGTTCTAAGAACGGACTTAACAGCCATGCATGTGCAGATGGTACTGGGTATTGCTCAGCGAGTTGTTGGTTCTAGTAGTACTCGAAAGATCTAGCAGTGCCATTGCATCAGAATAGAAACGATGTTTGACCTGTTAACGTTATAGTGGTCATAATTTGCAATACAACTTAATTCTTTCGGACATAAGCAGTACTGGTACTGCCTGGTCAAGTACAACCGCACCGCGCGATAAGAGGTTGATGGGCAGACGGCACCTCAGTTGGGTCGCGGTCACATTGACGAATATGGTAAGCCGAAGTTCTAAGAACGGACTTAACAGCCATGCATGTGCAGATGGTACTGGGTATTGCTCAGCGAGTTGTTGGTTCTAGTAGTACTCTAAAGATCTAGCAGTGCCATTGCATCAGAATAGAAACGATGTTTGACCTGTTAACGTTATAGTGGTCATAATTTGCAATACAACTTAATTCTTTTGGGCATAAGCAGTACTGGTACTGCCTGGTCAAATACTACCGCACCGCTCGATAAAAGGTTGTGTGGCAGACGGTACCTCAGTTGGGTCGCGGTCCCACTGACGAATATCGTAATCCGAGGTTCTAAGATCGGACTTAACAGCCATGCATGTGCAGATGGTACTGGCTACTGCTCAGCAAGTTGTTGGTTCTAGTAGTACTCGGAAGATCTAGCAGTGCCATTCGATAAGAATAGATGTTTGACCTGTTAATGTTATTGTGGTTTTTAATTTACAATACAACTTAATTATTTTGGACAAATGCAGTACTGGTACTGCCTGGACAAATGGAACATCAACGGGTACAGCTGCACCGCTCGATAACAGATTGATGAACAGGGGGTACCTTAGTTGAGTCTCCGTACCACTGACGAATAGGATAGTACTAGTTTCTAAGAACGGACTTCACAGCCACGCTGATGCAGATGGTGCTAGGTACTGCTCAGCACGTTGTTGGTTCTAGTGGTGCTCGAAAGATCCAGCAGTACCACTGTATCAGACAAATATACGTATACGGTACTACAAGGCCAAGAAGAAAATCAGTGGGTACGGCCGCACTACTTGATAAGATGGTGATGGACAGAAGTACCACCTTTGATTCGCCGCACCACTGACCAATAGGATGACACGCGTTTCTACGAATGGACTCTACAGGCAGGCAAGTGGTACTGCTCGACAGATTGACCGCTCTAATGGTATTCAAAAGATCCAGCAGTACTATTGCATCAAAATATAGACCGTGTTTGATTTGTAACGTCGTTATGATCAGAATATAATGAAGGCACTATTTGTTTGAGTCAAAAGTGTACTGGAACTACCTGGTCAAGAGGGACATCAATGGGTACTTCCTCACCGAAGTACCACCTTTGATTCTCCGTACCACTAACGAATAGAACGATGCGCGGATCTAAGAGCGGACTTTGCAGCCAGGTAAGTGGTACTGCTCAGAAGATTGAAGACTCTAGTGGTACTCGAAAGATCCAGCAGTACTGTTGCTTGAGAATAAAATCCGAGTATGACTTAGCAACATAGTTATATCATAATGTGTTAAAGGAACTTCTTTTACCAAAGCGGTATTGGTACCACCTGATCAAGAGGGCATCAATTGGTACCGCCCACCTCTTGATAGGGCGATATTGCCTGGCGGTTTGATGAACTCGAAATTTCGCATCAAAGCTATGGTGTTGAACCTGAAAATTAAATATAGAAAAAAAACCTGCAGAAAATTCAACTATCCTAAGTACTCACTTTACTGCGAGTAGTACACAATTGATATATAGAAAGATAGCCAGACAACTTGTTTAGAATTTCTAGTAGAACGTAAAGCAATTGGAATGATTAAAGTTGTAATAACATTATTTTAATCAAATAAATAATCATTATACATGCAGATGCGCATTTGTCTATTGAGGTCAACCATCCTCTCAGCATCTGAATAGCGTACTGCACAAAGACGTACTTGTACACGTACGTCTTGAAAGCAAATTCTGGGACATCGATAATATCGTCAGATGATAATATAGAAGCCACTTTCTAATTTTTTTATTATAAACGCCGATGAAAACTCAATCACAAACCAAATTAGTACCAT